TTACAATATACGTATATTCGTCGACGTAGACAACGAATCGAGTTGCCACGGTCTGTGTAAGCACTAATCTCATTCGCGAGCAAATCCTTGACCCCACTTGCTAGATTACGTTTTGCCTCTTTGCTGCATCGATTCTCATCGGAAAACTGATCGTGCCATTGTCGTTGAAACGGCGCGAGCGGTAAACTTGGCGCTCTGACGATCCCGTCGTTTCGTGAAATCTACGACCCGCGCAACTTTACGTTCCTTTTTATATCCGACAGGAGATTATTAATACAGTTATGCTCGAGAGCGTTATTAGATATCCGAGAGAGCGAAGGCGCCGAAGGTAGGCAATTTCCCGATTAATAAAATTCTACCGACAAGATGCTAGGCGAGCGAAGAAAATAGTTGACCGTTCGTTTCAAGATACAAATGAACGAAAATAGATACCTCTATCGTAAAACTATCAAAATATCAATTTCTTGGAGACGATAACCTTTGCGGTCAACGCGAGACAGAAATTATTAACGCTCGTTGGTCTTCTCGTGGAATTTCGATTCTATGGTCGAACGGCGTTGCTCCGTATTTCGAAACGGCGTTACGTGTTACGCGTGTCTTGTAAAACAATCGTACTTTCGATTTCCTAACGCATTCGAAAGATGTCCGGCTGGTTTCGTCGTGTTCTAAGGCAAAGAAAATCCCTATCTTTGGTAGCAACGAGACCGTGTCGGCGTTTGATAAACTCTCGTGTTTACAGAACGTGTTTTCCTCCTCGTTCTTCTTTAAAGATTCAACGCTACGACATAGCGGTTGATGTCCGCGATACCGACTACTCGCTATCGCGACAGCGATTTACGACGAAACTAATATTTATTAGCACGAATCTCTCGCGGAACACGTAACATTTTAAGCGCGTTGGTTGGCCACCGGTGAGCAAGATATACACCTTATTTTATAAAGAAAAAAATGATCTTGTATAACATTAACGTCGTGCTAATAACGTAGCATTGAAAAATTAAATGATCGTATCTTCGGTAGCACGTACGTCCATTTTTACTTGGGTGTAGCGTGCACGCAACGCGGCTACCGCAGCTTCTGTATTTAAATTCGAGCAGGATAATTACAAAGTTTGAGATCACCTTCGGAAAAGAAAGGAAATACGGGCCCAATGGTTAGCCATACATAACACGAGCGATTTACACGTACAAAGAATGTACGAAGACCTCGACCGTGCGCTTCTGAGAATGCAGATGTTTAAGAAAGCGCGAATCATCGTACGTGAAAAACATAATACAAGGAAAAATGGTCGATCGAGCAAGGATGATCCCGGGAGCAGACGTTTCTCGTAGTTTCTCCACGAAACGGAAACATTTGTGTTCCCGAGAAACGCGCTCGTTTACACCGTTGACGGAGAGAAGACGCCGGGAGCGTGTTTGCGCCCGCTTAGAAAGACAATTTAAAGCAGGTGACACGCACGATGCGTATTCTCGCTCGGGCACCTGCGCGTAACCTCCTTGGAAGATTACGAGCCAACGACCTCGCATTTGATAGCGTGTAGCGTGACAACGTTCTCTCGAGCAACAGAACACGCTCTCCATTCTTCGTCGAAGGGAACTTTTCCTACACTTTTTTATCGCCGGTCGAATCGAAACGGGCCCGTTTACGCGGAAAGAAGAAATTTCGTACGCGATCAAAGGTCGTTCGAGTAGATACCTTTACCGTCGTATCTTACGGCCCTGTCGTGTCTTAAAGTATAGTTATCGTCGGTTATCGTCTAATTTTAATTTTCGACGTTCGAAGTAGTTTATCTATGCGACTACTTTATCTAAGAATAGTAACTACGTTACGTATATACGCGTACGATCTAATAAAAGACGAAACTATCGCTGCAACCGCGTTCGTGATAATAAATCGATCGACCTCGATGCACGATATGAACCTGACAAAAATCTATTCTCGCGATTGACAAGCCTCCGGAAATACCTGTCCAACGAGTGATCCTAGGAGGAAAAAGAATCAGATCGTGACTCGAATCCCATTTTTCAGTTTTACGCGTAACGCTGCTAGGCAGTACGCGCAACTTCGCCTACGCGAGTCCGAGCCAACAATTGCACAACACGGTTAAAAAGCGCTCCTCGTCGAATAGGTTGATTTCTATTCCGACGGATCGCGAGTCGGGACGAAATAGCTCGCAATCTAACTGCTTAATTAGATCTAATTCCATCTCGCTTTGTCTCGTCGAATCGAACCTCGTTACGTTTCCTTTCGTCGTTTAAGAGTTCGAGGATTTTCACCTCGGAATACATTCGCGACAATGCCGAGAGACAAATTTTAAATGCAACGCGTACACGACACGAACTATAACGGATGAGACAATTAAAACGAACACCGACGATCAATCTCCGTTTCGACGGAGACCCGAGATAGCGAACGGTACGTGATCGATTATATTGTAACGAATCGAGCGATTCGATCGTGATACACTGTGATAAAAGTTAAGATCGGTAAGTTACGCGCAAGCAGGATAGAACAATCGAAACATTGACGGTTATAAATGGCAACGTTACGTAACTTGTTTTTTTTCACTCATTAGACTAATTAGAAACTCGAATAATGGTGCGACATTAACGTGGTGCGCGACGGCGACGTTCCCGGTAACTCGATGCTCTCGATTCGAATAATATTTTTAAACGAGGAATATTTTACGCTACAACTGAGGAAAGATGAAATGCTCGACGACCGCGCTCGAACGTTTCAACGCTTCGAAAGAACAACCCTTTTAAGTTTCGCTTTTACGATAACGAGGCTATCGCGGTTTTCGGTCTGCAAATAGAAAAGGATCTGTGTTTTGGTTAGGGGGAAGAGAACCGAGAGAAGCGTCGAAAGGCAAAAAAAGCCAGACTAACCGTTAACTAATTGATAGCAAGGTTAATTGTAAGAAGAAGAAAGACAGAGGAGAGAACGGAGTAACGCGGTTATTACAAATTCTGCGGCATGCCGTTGCCAGCAGCGATCGCGACCTGGTTTGCACACCAAGTCTAATGTTTATTTATCAAGTTTACGGTTCGTCCTCTTTCCGGCCTAGTTATCGTGTCGTGCTACGGTTGCCGGCTGTTTCAATCTCAAGAATAATCTCCTTTTGTTCGCGGAGCACTCGTTATTTTTAGACAATCTTGCGCTCGTTCGATTCGTAGACACGCATTTTTCCATGGAACGTAAAACCTTCTAAGGTTCTATCGATCGTTAACTCTTGGAGGATATCGGGAGAGAACGTATACCATCGCTCGACTCGAAATTCTACGTTGGTTAACGATAACGATGCACCGTTAACGATCGATCATCGTACCCGGCGAAAGATCTGCTGGCTGTAACAGCAAAGTCGTAGAGCGATATTTCTTACGGAAGAATTTAATTCGACTCGCTGTGAAACGATAAAAAATAAGGAAGACGGTCGAAAAGGAGCAGAAAGATTAATACCTAATGCGTAAATAGAGTAGGAGGCTTTTAAACGGAACAACACCGTAAAAGTCGGACAAATAATTTTGAATCGCTATCTCGAAAACGAAGGCCTAGATTAGGAAACGACACGTAACTTTTCTATTCTTTCAGTCACGGAGTTCCAAGTACTGTTGAACGGTAAATTTTGTAATAACGTTCGCTGACTCGCGCCGACTCGTTTAATGGAGTTACTTGGACAGATAACGAAGGCGAAACCACGCACGAGTCACCGCTCTCTGCTCCCTGTGCCACTAACGAAACGCTAACCGACCAATTTGTATTTCGACACGCGTGCGACCCACCTCCTCGCGTCCACGACGCAATTCCAAATCGTAGCCTGGTATTTCCAGTTAATCTTAATTCGTGTCTTTTACCGTCGAACGAGCGTACCTTGAAAATCTAAAACGAACCAAACATTACGCAACCAGCGAGCCAACGTTCTTTCGAGGAAAAAAGTTTCCGAAAATATAAATATGTATCGCGAACATATTTATAATTAGCGATCTTTTGAATATTTATGATAGGAATCGAAGCACACGATGTAGATGAATTTTTGCAATTACGATTCGTTTCTATCGTATTTACTACACTCGAATACGTGTTGCGTCACGCAATCGCTTGCCTCTTTATCGTTCGTTACCGTCACGCCTATTCCGCAAAAGCTTTCTTTTCGTTCGCTGTCGAGCTCGTAATCGAACGAGCTTTAAATTATGAAGATCAACGAGGAAGACGTTGAGCTCTTTCGGGACGAACGCGACGCGACAGCTTGCAAACACGCGTGGAACGCGATTTTGAAAGTCAACGAGCTCGTGCTCGATGAGGAAAACGCGCACTGTAGAGGTATAGCACGTTGAAAGATCGTACAATGGAAGCCCCGTTAATACGATTCTGCATTCGTCATGGTAGCCCGAGTACGTTGCACCAAATACTCGACGCATCGTTAAATACCAGGAACTTGACACTGATCGTTGCGGAGATTGCACGTATGGCATAAAAGCACGGTTGCGGAGAGTTATTTTACTCGGCGTTGTTAATTATTCGCCTCGTGCAACGAGAATAGTTTAAAAAACTCGCTTCGCGGTGAACGTTCCGTTTAAAACTTGTAACCCGCTTCGCCGTGACTTTTTACGTAAAGCTTTTACGGGTTCTTTCGAGCGCGGTCGAGTCCAAATTTCTACGAACATATAAACGAGAACGGAATTACGCGCCAGTAACGAGAAAGCACGGTTTAATGGTACGCGTAAAACTTTTCTATTCAATTACGTATGGCCGCAACGAGCATATGTTCGCTCGGTAAGCACGGTCTTTTTATTAATGGTCACTGCCATATGCAGGAACACCTGTGATGACTAACAGTACCGCGTAGCCGAGTATAATAAGAGGAGATTACGTTCGCGCATGTTACATACTTCGCAGGAGTATCGATTTCGTTCCACCGAAACTTTTCTAGCGCAAATTCGAGCAGCCCACGGGAAACGATAATTCGATCGAGTATACCGGTCGAAGATTTTCCGATTTACCTGACTTTCCCATCGGGGGTTGGCCCAGTCTGCTGAACCATCTAAGGAATCTTCTGGCCGTGGTCGCGGCAGGTGGTCTACATCCCTCGAGTATGACGACACCATTATTATTATTATTGTTATTGTTATGACTATTGTTGTTGTTATTGTTGTTGTTGTTGTTGTGGATATTGTTGGGAGCGGAGCATTCAGAGGGCGGTGCTCTGCTGTACGGCGACATCCAAGCAGTGGTCGTGCTTTGGATGGTGGTACCCTTGACGGTGGTGATAGAACTGGTTATTTTAGCCGGGTGCGGGACCCAATCTTCCGAAGCGACGGGCATTTGTTTCGCCCTCTCGTCGGACGAGTCGAAAACGAAGCCACAAAACGGGAAAATCATTCAAGGCGTTGCGATTGTCCAGGGAAGTTGATCGGTACGATACATCCTCGTTCTCTAGATATCGAGCGGAAAAGAAATTGGCGATCGAGCACCGTGGTGGATTAAGCGCGATCTCGCGAATCTTCCTTCGAATAACTCGGCCAGCGAGTTTCAGTTTGGACGCGGTACGCGGAAAAGATTACGCTCGAGGATACTTTTTGCGTGCATCCGTAGGTTTGCGGTCGTCGCCTCCAACCCCTTATCTACGCTCGCTCGGATGTTTGCTTTGGTAGTTACGGTCACGTGTTTCCCCCTTAACTTGTTGCGCATACCTCGATCGGCTCTTTCCGTATTCCGGATACGCTCGCGCCCGCTCGCTCGTTCGCTCGATCGATCGATCGATACGAAGCTAACGTCGATGATTCGCTCCTTCGCCTTTGGTTCGATCGTTTCGAAAACTTAATCTTCTTCGCTTCGATCGGAGGAGCCTGTCCAACGGAGGGTGTAAAACTGTTCTTAAACGAGTCGAGCTATATTCGATTTATTTGGTAAGTTACAAGGTACTTCGTTTTCGTACTAGCTTTCGTACGCGACGCTACGCTACCGTGGAATGGTCATCCGATACTCGGAAATCGAACAAGCGAACGACCTGTAAATCACGATTCGACGATACTCTTCCAAGATCCTCGTACGGTTGGCGCAAGTGCGCGCGACATTAGGTTCTTCCGTAAGTAGAAATATCGCGCTTTGTCCTACTTTGCTCGATCCGATCCAGTCTCGATTAACGGTTTCTCTCGGATCGGTGCAGGAATCTGCTCGTCTACGATCGACGTCGAGCGAAACGATCTTTCGGTCGTCGTCGACTGGACGAATCCTAGGAAGCTACGCTCGTCCGTCGACGACGCGTTCGTAGGTCGAGGTTGATCCGTCGAATCGTTCAAGGTAGCTCGGTCGGTCACGTAGTTGCCGCATTATCCGCGTCTGGTCGCCAAACGCGACTATCCTAGTAGTCGTCTTCGTCTTCGACACGCTCTTCGACGCGCTCATCGACGCACACCGTTCGTTCGGTTCGAATCGAACCACTCGCGGAAACGAGTATTTCTTCCTTCGCACTGTTATCGCGCGACGATCGAACGCGTTGTTCCCCTTTATCGACACGATCTATCCGAGAGAAGGAGCGATACGCGAATCAGCGAAATATCGTTCGATCCGTTCGAGGAGTCGATTTCTCGAGACGAGCACACTCGTTTGCACTTGGAAACACCGCGAAGTTTACACGCGAGGCGTGTACGCGGATTACCGATCTTGCGACGAATCGTGCAACGTTCGAGGAACACCGTTTAACCCATCTTGAATCGCGAACGAGAACGTCTCGATCGCGCGGTTTCTTCCGACCTGCGGGAAATACGACGAGGCGAAAAAACAAGGGAAAAAGGAAGCGTTAAAAAAACGTGACGAATCTCGCGAACGATACTGGCCGCGCGTCTCTCGACCTGACGACAGACTCGAACTGCCACCGACCGCTTCTCTCGGCACTGTCTCTGCCAACTTGCTCTCCGTGCTTCTCTACCACTCCTCTACCGTTGTCTACCGATCGTCTTCCTTCGTCTCCCTCCTGTTCGCCTTCTCTCTTCGGTACGTGGTCGCGCTCGCGCTCGCGTTGGCGTGTCCGTGCACGCGTGTACACCTTCGAACACCGACACCCGCGTTACCACTACCGGTGCATGCCGCGCTGCTAGACTGTCGCTAACCGCCCCACCACGCCGACGCTTTTTCTTCGGTCAACTCCCTCTCGCATTCGGCATTCGCTGCTTCCTAACCGTTTCTTTATCTCCTCTCTTTCCTTCCTTTGTCCGCTCTCGCGGTCAACACGAGCGTTCCTCTTCTAGCTCTTTTCGCCTAGCGAATACGCCGCTCGGAAACGTCGCAACGAACACGGACACAAGCGTATCGGCTGCTACTCGCCTCTCTCTCGCTTGCGGCCAACGGCAACGCGTTGCGCTTGCGACTTACACCGACGAATGCACGAAACGCGTTTTCGCGCGCGCGCACGCTCGCTTACAGCCCAGGAGATCGCGTGGGCGATTTTCGAGCGAACGAAATACGAAATAAAAAATCCAGGGGGAAACGAAGGATGCGCATTCGCATCGAGTGACGCATCGTGACTGACGGAAGCGAGCTCTCCTAACCTAACCCTTCGAGTTTCCTCCCGACCCGCAGCTTGTACCCACCGGGGCACGTGGGCTTCTCGTTTACCCGCGCACCAGGATCGAGCGCGCCAACCTTCGAATCTTCCTTCACGACTCGTTCCAGGACCTACAATGGGTGTCATAAACACATCGTTCAGGACCTGCATGCTCACCTATCCGTAGAGCTAGATTTCCGAAAACCGACCGGTGCTATTTGACTCCTATTATTTCCATAGCTTTTCTAACGTGACTCTGAAAAATCTCTACTAATTACCGACCACGCTCAGCTATTATCAAAATATTTTGAAAATATTATGTTTATTGCTTTTCTGAACGTTCATATGTTCATGACACGCGCAGTATTTCGAAAGGTATCCCGTCATTTCCTCGAACATTGGGTCAAATGAACAGACGAAACAGTGACTAATGCAGTCGAATATTTTAAAAATGAAAACGACTCGAGTGTTCGTTGCGTCATTGTTAACCGCTCCGTGCCCTTCGGAATTTCTTTCGCGCCAAGTCGAAGTTGCGCGATTTGAAAATCGAACGCGATCGAACGAATGGTTAATTGCGAATACGCTAAAATGGAAACGCGTCTGGTCGTTGGCCAAAACGCGATTTCGTAAGGATCCACCCGCGATTTCTTTTTGCGATCGACGAAACATCGTTTAAGTTGAAAATGGAAAGTCGTTGTATTTATTATTCGAGCGGGGAGCGTAACCGCTCGTTCTAAAGACGACGTAAAAACAGAAAGCGTGTCCGATCGAGTTCAGTGAGACTTCACGGCTCTTCCCGCGCCTTCCTGTTTGCCCGTTGATACTCTTTCGAGTTGCAAAACCTCTTGAAAAAAAAGCTACGTACCTAATGTTCCTTTTTGTAATTAAAAAAGAGGAAAGAGCTAATCTTGATGACTCCGAACGGCAACGGTTCGAAATTATAGACATGCCTGTCCTAAAAATGAGAAAGAAAACGTTGAAATAACAGTTCGGCCAGAAACGACGTACACGACGCGTCAGACACTCGATACGCGCGCATCAATGGTCACTTACGCGATTAGTAACAAGAATTCGTTATACGCGCGACACCGTTTACGTTTCGCGTTAACCGCACACGTATTCTCGTATCGATCTTTCGATGTAAATGTTTACGAACGCGACTCGAAAAAGTTACTTGGCGAGACAGTGCCAGCATTCAGAGATTAATTGCATCGGAACGAAACGGAGATCCGAGAGGCGTCTCGCACCGTTAACAAAAACGATCAAGATCGACGCCTTATCTTTTGTTTTTCGAGATTACAACGTTCGACCGCGACGATATTTACCGCGATGTGACTGTATCGCTCTGTTGGCAAAGTTTTCAGTCATCGACGGCTATGATTAATTCGAGCGAATTCGAGCGATAGCGGAAATGAATCGGCAGTAAAATCTCCGTCGAAACGAAAATACGCGAATATCATGAAATAGAAATGAAATTTCATTGGTTCACCGTGCAGGTCTGACGGGAATGTCGATGAGCGTTCATTATTGAACGCGCGTTCGCGTTCGAAGAGACGGCGAAATCAAGATGTCTAGAGCGGACGTTGATCGGCGTCGTCGCGTCGGTCAGGAGCCGTGCGACCAGCGCACCGATTTCAGTAATTAATCGTGAAACGGTTGGACGCCATCACGGTATTTTCCGTGTAAAAATAGAGGCGCCACCGACGATTCCGTAACGGTTGCAACTTATGCAATGCATTAGGAACAGTAGCCTCCTCGATGCAGATTGCTTTGAAAATTTCGTTAAAGCGCTTGTGAACGCGGCAAGTATCTTTTAATCTAAAAGGAGAAGAAAGATTCGAACGCGTGGCACTCGCGAGTTGTCTTAGCTCGCTACTTGTTTTACGGATCGCCAACCCAATCTTCCTAACTCGGATTTAATCGACGGAGTTCGATCGCGCGCTAGTCGAGCCGACGCGAAAACGTGGAAAGAAACGAGACGGATAAGATCTACGGATAGAGCGATGCACCCTATTGTTGTTTGTTCTTCTCGCGGAAAAGAAAGTAACGCTTTAACGCTCCACGGACGAGTGACGGCTAAGACACGCGTGCCGATGATCGCGATCGATTGAAACGACCGAAATTTTCACTAAGGACTGCTATGACGTTCGATATACTTTAACGACATATACGCCTTTAATTAATCGTCCAACATTTTCTTTCGCCGGTAGCGCTTTTACTTGTTAGACGGTAGACTCTGCGAGTAGATATTCCGCGTAGTTGTTAGACCGGAATCTATCTTCGATGTAACATCGTTTTTATACAGAAAGGCAGATTTTCAAAGACTCTGCTCGCCTAGAAACTGATCCTTTCCTTATCGCGATGCTCGAGACGAAATTAGGACACGCCGAAGATCGCGCCCGTTCGATCGCTTTGGATCTTGGACCGAAAAAATCATCGCGAACGCTGATCGTTAAAACGCACACTTGACCTAGAATAGCCAGAGGTGAAACGAACGCGAAGATCAGGTTACGAAAGGGTCGAGAGACGAGGAGGAAAGAGTAGAATGACGAAGAGGAAGACGTTGTTGGCAGCGGTTCAAAGCGCAGTCCGACCTAACTGAAATACTGCAGTGCTCCACTATGTGTCGCATACCAGGTGAAAATATTGCGGAACCGTTACTTTACTAACCAGAAATATATCGTACAATCCACGACGCGGAAAACTGCCTTTTATACTTTCTCCGCGAGATCGAAACTGTTTTGGTTTTATTTTAATCGGTTCTGACGAGGTCGCGATTAAATGCTGATCGCTCGGAAAGTTACGTTCCTCCTCTCGATTTCGCTTTGCTCGAAAATCATTTCGAACACGACCTTATTTCTGCTTTGTGTCCTTTTTCGACGTTAACAGGTGGATCAAATTAGAAGACGTCATTATTCATAAAAAAATAATCTGTAGAAGAAATCGCGTGAACACAAACGAGCAGGATTTCCACACCGATAACGATAGCACCGTAATCAAAAGATACGGAAGCTTTCGGCAATTTTCTTGAAACTCGACGTTCGCGTCGTTCCAAACGAGCTTCGTTTCGTCGCCTTTAGAAGGTATCTACCTTACCAGCGAACGACGGCAGGTAAACTTACCCACCAGATAATACCACTGATCCGATCGAAACGCTTTAGCTCGTTCTCCTTCGAGTCGGTATCAATTCCCGACCTGTCGCGAACGGATGCTTCTCAAATCGAGTTTCGAGAAAAATTTCACGAGATACTTTTTAAATTAATTCGCGTCAAATTAGTTTCCGTCATGGAAACTTACAAGTTACGAAAACGACATATCTTGTGCAACGAACCGCGCTTTAAGTTGCATCTTCCCTGCAATTATTTCCCTTCCCCGTACCGAGAAAGTTCGACAGATAACGAAAGAAATAAACCGAGAAAAATAAAGTTCAGAAATAGGATAGAATATTGCACGCTTTTCAACGATGCAATATGGATGTATCGTATTTATTAGTAGTCCATCGGACTCGCGCCGCTTACTACGTAGACGATCGATGAAGTCAAAAACATCTAATTAGAACCTTTTGTTGTCCAAACGATGTTCGAACTAGATGCTACGTTAACGATAGTGCCACTCGAGAGACGCCATTACACGAAAGCACCGTTCTTTCGTACCGGAAGAAAAATACTTGGATGGTAAAATAGCGGAAGTAACAGCGTAGACGAACATGTAGCACATCGTATGTTCGATTGCTCGAAAAAAATACAAGTTGTTCTCGCGTCGAATGTTGGATTAGGAACGCGTTTTTCTACTCGTTCTACCAGTTTCGAATTTTTCTCAATCTACCGTCGATCGCCTGTAGCAGAGCGTCTCTACGTTGTCAAGGTATTTAGCACGGGTGGTACCTTCAAGTTTTCATGCGCCTACTCGCGTCGGTTCAGAACCGACTGACGCCAGGGTATAAACCGTAGCCGCGATCGATGAACGAACACAGCACGAAAATGGTCACGCGAAACGAAGCAATTTTCATCGACTGGTTCTCGCCGTTCGTTCAACGAATCTTCCTGCCCTCGCAGCGATCGTTCTCCGTTAGTCACGCTCGTACATTGGATAAGCAACGATAAGATTAATTTGCTTGTTTATCTTCTCTTCCGAGAAGAGACTAAACAAAAGAGACCGATATGTGTTCAATAAGGAAACCTAAGGAAGATATAAATTGTTTCGCTTTCCGACGATGAATGATCTTAACCCTCTCGTTACGAAAACCTGCGTTCTAAACGGAAATACTCGTTGCGCTAAACGCTCTTTTTTCTCGTAGCCGCGACACAAAGGATGTCTCGATTGTTCGATAGGTCGTCCTTGGATGGATCGTTGTTCGCGAGGACTCTCGTTATCGTTGTTCGATCGCCGCGAACACATTGGGTTCAAGTATGCGAAGCATGCAAAGAACATCCGTAAACGATTTATAAAACGAGCTACGACAAATGGAACAAAGTGCGAGAGTTAAAGCGATTGGAAAAAGGACGCCACGATCGATAACGGTTCCTTGATTTTATTCCATTGTTATCGTGCGCGAACCTGGCTTCTCTCGTTCAAGTGGAAACGCGGGGAAATTATATTTCCCGTCGTCTGCTTTCTCCCGTTTACACGTAAAGCATAGTTTACGTTGGCAGAGTAAGTAAAGTCTAGTGTTACGTTGAGAAAGTACACTAGCGTTAACGAGAAAAATCTGTTTATTGTACTTGCGCAAACGATTGAACAAGTGGT